TGTAAATCACTTGTACCTTAATTCTATATCGCACATTTATTCAATAAACGGGTTCTTGCTTCACCCTCCCTTTTTGGGAAAAAAAAAAAAAAAAAAACTCGAAGTTCTCCAAACAAGTTTCACAAACCTCTTGTTAGATCATTCCGCTAAAAATCTGTCTTTGGAATTAACTAAGCACATCCTCAAGACGGTGGCCGAAAGTCTTTTAGCCCACGAATCAACCATCAGAGGCGACGTTTACAATTATTTGCAAGAAAGCTGGGTGAACGACTACGGCACGACACATTGAGCGCATACACAAAGTTTCGGTAAAAAGGATCATAACACCGTTTGCGAATATTTCACCAACCTCGAAATACTTGCTCGGAGAAGAGTGCAAGACTAAAATCACTACATTAGTAGATGGCAAATTTAGAGAAATTAAGCAAACAATAAACGAAATCGAAACGCGCCTCAATTCGGAAATTATCAGCGTATGGAGTCTCGGTCAAAAAGTCTACTATTAAAGTTATGTTTGAAAAATCTCGGTACAATTATGTCAAAAGGTTCTCGTCCATTTTGGAGAATATAATGTCGAAGATCCCAAGAAATTTTGCGAAATTTTCAAAGGAAAATTTTGACAAGCTTCGTAACCAATGGGAAACTGAAGCGTATCTCGAAATATCGAAAAATCGTCTTCGGGAACATGCTGATCAAATAATCGAAGCGAAATGGGGCACCTTGGAAGGTTGCACTGCGCGTTGTCCTACTTGTGATTCAAAATGTGAAGATATTAAAGGCACCAGATATACACAGCATACATCTGCACATGTGATCACGGCCTTTGGCGGATATAGGTATGTGCACAGCAGAGAAACAGGCTTGGTTGTTTGTTCTGAAAAAGCATCACACGAGTTGCGTTGGAAAGGTAACAATATTGACCAATTTGTTGAGTTAAACATGTTGATGGACATCAACCAACCACCTTGGCTAAAAATAGAGCCTAAAGATGTTGCGGATAACGAGATAAGAAATATGCGTGGTGATGGTGGCATCTTTGAGAGGAATGGTGTGAAAAATATGGTATGAATGACATAACGCCTTTAATATACAAAATGATCAAGTTCATTTTTCATTCAGGTCCTATTTAGTTTATGCTTCAGTGACTTTTTAGGACTTTGATCTTCCTTTATTTGCTTGCATCAAAAATACTCATTATCTTCTGTCACTATGAATTTCGTTTCGCGATCTTGTCTTTTTCAACCATTGGTCCAAATATTTTTGGATTGATCTGCATCAATTTTATTTCCAATAATGTATTTTACAAATAATTGGGATTATTTTTATTGGTTCAATAAATTGTGAATTACATATAATTTTGAAATTACTAGCTGATTTTCCAAGAATTGCATGACGTTGAAATGACATGATCAAAGATTAACTCGAGAATTACATGAAATAATTCATAAAAATGTTGAATAGAATTTCAATGATCCTATCCGTTACAGAAAGTTATGCGTCCAACTTAGGTAGGGTTGTTAATAGACATATTAAAATATATAACCCACTCCGGAGTTGGTTATATGTTTTAATAAACAACCCGATAAGATTTGTTTTGCCGGGTCGATCAAAAATTCGTTACCCGGCAGTAGAAAATTTACATAATGATTGGTGGGCACGTGAGGGTGAGAGTAATAACTTGAATTTTATCGTTAATCTGAAGATTTAATATCTTTTGTTATTATCTTTTGACCGTAAAAAAAAAGTAAAAGAAAAAGGTTAGTAAATAAGAGAAAAAGGAAAGGGAGAGGAAGAGTGAGAGTGAGAGAGGAATGGAGGAATGAGAAGGAAGAAGAGGGGAATGAGAACGA